TTACGGGCATCTGAGGAGTAGCTGGCAAATCAAGCTCATTCCTGTTTGCCAGGTTTGAGTCAACCAGCCCTCAGTGCAACCATTCAGTTTTCTAGTCTATCAAGGTGGGGTTTGTGGGTTTTTTCTTCTTTTTCTTTGGGTTTTTTTTTTGGTGGTTTTTTTTGGTTTTTTTTTGTGTATTAATTTTCTTCTGGCCTCAGCAGTGTGCTGGTTCCCTGAGAAGCAGGAGGACATCACATCTCATAGTAGCAYGGAGCTGTTGTTAAATGGTTCTGGCTGTTTTGTGCCATTCCAGGTGGCTCAGAATGAACAAGGAAGATCAGCTTTCTGAAAAGGGTGTTCAGCCGTGCACATTTTCATGAAATGTAGGTGGCTTARTTTTTCATTCACAAAAAGTGGAGYTTTTTCTTTYATCTTTYTCARTGTRGTGGCATCCCCTCATRCCTGCTGGTTCTGTTGCTYGTCAGATTCCTCCACCAGCTCATTMAACTGTCAAAAAACATAGTAAAAAGAAAAGAATTGTATTTTTCTGCCTTTCAGTGATCATTTTGGTGCCAGAGTTGGCATGAGTGAGGACAGAGCCATGTGCTTTAGAGTAGCACATGCCTTTCTGTCAGGAAAAAGGCATGATGGGAATTGCATTCCTGCCTTCGCTTCCTATGAGATGCAGCTCACTTTTTCACAAGGTTCTCTTCTAAACAAGAAACTATGTTAATTAAAGCTAYTCTGGTATCTTGTTACTTAGTTTCTTTGTTCCTTTATTGCTTGTTTCCACAGTATATACACGCTTGCTTGTGCTCTGAGGTTCTAGRACTGTACTGAACCCAATACTTCCATAATTTTTGGTTGTGTTTTTGGAATTTCTGAAAGGCAGTTCTASTCACATCATCAGTTGTGTTGAGAAGTGTGGTGTAATAGGTCTTAATGAATCCATAATGTGAAAAAGAAAATTACTGCTTTTTTCCTGTCAGAAACTTATAAAAGAAATGCTCAGGTGAAGCCTGCTGTCCCTTGGTATAATCATAATTTCCTAGGCTTGATATATGAGAGAAATGATCTGATTTTCTTTTCATCAAACAAACTCCCAAGACCTTACAGCCACATTTTGGGAGGGCCAATGCTTACACATCTCAAAAATACCACATATTCTGCTGCTATATTCAGATCAGAATGTAAATTTGTAAGAGGTTCTGGTGATACATTACATTTGAGTCAATTTTGCCACCATGTGGGGAAAGCTCTCTCATCTACATTCTTAGCCATGCATTCTTCTCTGTGTTTTTGCTCTAGTCTGGTCATTCAATTATTAAACTCTTTCCCTTTACCTTCTCTGAAATATCCCACCTTTTTACTTTGGCATGTTAGTTTTTCACTTTTTATCAACTTGATTCACATTGCTACATGAATAGTGAACTGTCAGAATTAGTACAGAAGGAAGGGGCTTGTGGCTAAAGGCAAGGAAGGAAAATAAAGACTTCCTTTTGGGAATGAAGGTGTAATTTGACTKAAGCTGCAACAGGAACTTTCATCCATTTGCATACATGCACACAGGTGGTCCTTTAATTTCCTGACACCTTGCTATTGTTTATGACAGATTAAGATTATGAAAATGATTGAGAATTACATCCTGAGCCTGTATTGTTCAGTTTCTGCCTTGTCTGGTCAGACCCTGTTGCCTTTCACATCTGGTTCCATGTATTTTCACTTGTGAAATCAGGGGAAAATGCCCTTTTTTCAGTCAGGCCCCTCAGCATTTCTGTGTGCAGCTGCAGCACAGTTTTTAATCATAAATTAAGAAAATCTGTAGATACCTGTGGCCTCCTGGTTTCCATTTATGGAAAGCCAACAAGAAGATGAGATTTCAGTGAAAGCAGATTGTTGTTTTCTGCCTTAATACTTCAAGGTAGATCTTGCAATGAAAATACACTATTTCCCAYCAAGATGTAGTACAGGAGGAAGACTGAGCAGCAGCATTTTTGAACTCTCCTGGGAATGAAACTCAGKAAGCTCTTGATAAAATACCAGAAGACTTTGGCTTTGCAACTGATGTGGGATAAAGGCAGTTCTGGGCTCACTACAGAGAAAAGCAAGTAAAAGCAAGACTTGAAAGTGGCAGGTTCTGTGCCCTTTTCTGGAAAGGATGASTAGTGTCTGAGGCTCCATTGTACAGATATTTAAATTCTTGATGGCATGTTTCCTCACTCTAGTTCTGAGATTTATGCCTTCCTTCCCTCCCTGTTCTCAGGAAGATTCAAAATCTCTTAACTTCATCATCTACTGAAAGGCAGAATTTAAAACCTGGTTAGAGTGAGAGACTACAAAACTGGGATCTGGTGTTTGCAAGTGACTGCTGGAGCAGGATATGGCATACACAGGCTCCAGGAAGCCTATTGTACATGCAATATTTACAGGTGAGGGGATTGTCTTATTATCTAATTTTGATTTTACATGAAGGGACCATATCAATGGTGTAAACAAGTAATTCTTTTTTTTCCTTTCTTAAAAATCTCGTATCAGAAACTTGCAGATTCCAAACAAATCAGCAAAAGCTGGTTTCAAAGATTTAGTGAAAAAGAGCACTAACTATATAAATAAGATTTGAGGGAAAACAGGAAGCACCTATGCAAGTGTTAATAGTGTGTCTGATAGTCTACGTTCACAGTCAAACCTGCAGCTCCAAGTTTTTCTCCAAAAGATTCCTGGGATGTTTTAAAGGGTTTGTATATCCATATGAGTCTGAAGAGCAGTCTGCTTCCTTTCTCAAGATCCTGTTTTTAAAATGGTTCTTTCAAATATGGGAATAGTGAAGCCATTACATTTTCTGAGTAAAAATAATGTAAGTCTCAAAGTTACATGTTTAAACAGGATGATCTACATTTGCAGTACTGGGTAAAAATTCATATAAATTCASTGGCTGATGTAGGTTTTCATCATTTTTAGTACTAATTTCATCTACATTGTGGCTTCTAGGTGTCACCTTTCTACCACTTTTTCTCTAGTTTTAGTCAGGAAAAGCAGGAAGAAAATCAAATCTAATACCATTAGCACTCCTGTTTGAGTTCAAAGAACTCTTGAAATTGTTGTATGTGGAGAAGAAGAGTTCAATTGCTTGGATGTTGCTTCCAAAAAGTCCTGACCAGTGGAGGTGTTTGCTCAGATGAATTTCTGGCTTCTGTGCAGTCTTTGGTCCCATCATACTGAATGTTTTTTTTGCAATCACTTGTTCTCTCCCTGGCTTCTTTTCTGGTTTTGCTGAAGGCCTCATCCATTTTAGTCAACCTGAGGTACAATCTTGCAGAATGTACTCTGATTTTCTTCACACCACAGATCTAATTGTGTTGTGTAACTGTAATTCTGTTTTTCCAGTGTTGCCTTTTATAGACACATCAATATTAATTCTTTCAATTATAGCAATTTAAAAAACCCAACAGATGTGTATTTAGGTTTGCTGTCCTACTGTGTTAACACAGACAGGTCTGCTTTCCTCCTGTACCCATAATACTGAATTGTATTAACATAATTACCCAGAACAATTCCCCAACAACTGTCTCTTTTAATAAAGTCCATGTTTAAATTTGGAAATTTTTCTTTGGGCTGTTCCTGAATATGATCCTGTCCAGTGTGTCTTATTATTGGAGCTGTGGGTGCTTGCTGGCATGGCCAAGTATCTTGGTCGTTTTTTTTTTTTTTGGTTTTTTTTTTTCCCCTGAAAATGTTCCTTGATGTTCATAAATTATTAAGCTCAGTTCAGGCATTATTATGAAACAGATGCACGTCCATTAAAACCTTGTTAAAAGGTGTTATCATATTTCTTTGCACATGTAATTAATTCAAGCTTGACTTACTGCTTCAGGGGAAGGTGAAATCATTGCTCAAGGATGYGATGGTAAAGTTCCCTAATTTTTAATTTTGTGAGCTGCATTAGTGTCTTTATTGCTTGGTGAAAGATGGTAAGAATTTGCAGTTTAGGGGTTAAAAGCCTTGAATTCCTTGGCCTGGTGAGATCTGGCAGTGTTATGCACTTGCTTTTTTTTAAAAATATTTCTCAAAGATGGCACTAGTCAGTTGTTTGTTTCACCCAAAGGCTGTCTTCTGCAGGATTTAGGATTTAACGTGTGTTAATCTGCTTTTTGAAGTGGAGATAATAGGAAAGAATGGTTCCTGGTGTTTCCATAATGGTTGTATTTCCATATATCTGTACATGGGGAAAAAGCCAGTATCACAATCAAGATGCCCTCTCTTACCTGAGGACATAGAGGATTTTGACATCACTCAAAATCTCCAGCAGAGGAGAATAAATTGTGTTAAAGTTCCTAGTCCCACTAGGTGAAAAAGAGTATTTTCTAGTGATTGACGCTAAGAAATATTAAATCTCTGACTATTGCTGAAAACTCTTCGAGTTGGTTTTATTTATTGGTCCCTTGTAGGTCTCCATTTAAGCTGTTTGAGTGCATTTTTCAGGAAATTGTACTTTAAACTGTTTTGAAAGTGTCTGTGGATATCTGCAGYTGTCTTATCAATGCAGAGAAAGTGCTTTCCGTCAGCTCTCAGATGAGGTATCCAGAGTGAGATGTGCTTTTTAAAAGCACTTTTTCTCCCTTTTTTTATTTCAACTGATGTTCTGAAGGTCATTGTACCCATTCAAGTTGCATCACCAAGTTTTTCTGCAAGAAAATTTTATGGCAAGTGGATTGTTGAGGAGAGAACGTTGTCTGCTCTTCAGATCAGCACTTTAAAAGATTTTGACGTTAAAATTTAGACTTTTTAAATCTCCTGGAGTGGCAGGTTTTATTTAAAATTGATCTTTAAGCATAGTAAAGAATGAATGTAAACTCCGAATAAGATTTAATCAATTTGAATAAATAAAGGCTTCCCTCCAGCTTCTGCACTGACATTGTTTTATAGTGTCAGTATGTTGCTGATATAATCAAAACCCGGATTTATCTATAAGTGATTGAAAAATTGAAAAAATACCCAGAGAATGAAGTTGATCTTTATGGACAATATCCTGTGACAGTATTTAGATTTGGTCTGACTTACATAGTCTAAAATACTGCATGGCCAGCTCTTGATGGGGCATCCATTATTGCTAACACTTTTACCTTCAATGCACAGCTCTATAAAGCTCTCCTTTGTGTGAGATAAATCATTGTTTCTGGCATGCAAGAGAAAGCTGACTTACTCTAGAAGTACTTGTTTCACGGTTAATTCATGGTGTGATAGACATRTTTTAATTGAATTTCCTTAAAGGGAAGCTGCAGTTGGACATCCAGGCATTGTTTTTTTGTAAGTTATTCTCAACCTGCACACCAGCAGTCAACAAACATTGTTCAGTKAATTCCAGTTTGAGCACTGTGAATACTATCTGGCCCTAAGTTAGAGGAAAAGAAAAGCTTAAGCAGGGAAGTGTTTTAGAAGAAAAGAATGAAGATGRTATTTTTCTTATACAACAGGCAGAAAATACAGGAGAATCTTAATTTACTTACTGTGAAGCTTCACATTCCACAGCCTAATTGCTTTGCAGTTGCACTGGCCATAACCCTTGAGAGGAACATCCCTCCTCAGTGAAAGAGGAGTAAAGCTTCAGGTGATAATGTTATGCTTTTTTGAAAGGGCACTTTATTCTTTTCTCACAAGAAAAAAAAATTCCAAGCAGGCTACTGTGATGAACGATCACAGATTTTTTGAGAAGTCTTAGCTGATGGAAGTGAGTCAGCAGCTGCTTGGTTACATATAGAGTTGGTGATCTCAGGGGGATGTCTTAGTKTGGGGAGTGTAGAAAAATTGTGTAATGGTGTTTGCCAAAAGGCCTATTACAGGTTTTATTATACCAGTGGAAAAAATAGGGTGCTCATCCAGTTCCTTTTTTTCTGCTGTCTCTTTCTGCTTTCCTTTATTTGGTAGGTTTGAATTCTAGGGAGATACATATTCAGTGTGTGAAACATCTAATGGAAGTGAAAATTGAGATTTTTTGTCAGAGTTTTGCAATTTAGTATATTAATTCACAGATAAAAATTGCTTAGCAATAATAAAAAAGAAACAAAAAAAMMMCATAAATTGGGGTGTGGGGGGTTTTCTTCAGTTGAAGGAATCTTTTGCTTAAGAAATGGTTACTTATGTCTTAAACTAGCATAGAAAACTCGTACTGAAATAGACAGTTTRGAGTCTTATTTGATGTTAACTGGAATTGCAACTTTCTGAATGGGTATGTCCAAAGCACCTCTAATACTTTGTTCTTACCTTGAATAATTTCTGTTGTCTAAGGGCTAAATCTGGCAGGGTTGGCAGTGTSAGGAATTCCTTGCATGTGATCATATATGTTGCCATATGTGTCACAKGAGCTTTTAATAGTCCTGACCATTTGTGCCATTTGATGTTGCGGTGAAGAAAAGCGAAGTGAAAATACAGTACTTAAAAATTATTGCCTTGTCATAGAAAGCYTGGTAAGTGGTGGTAAGGACTGAAAGGATGCTCCATGGAATGCTTTCTTCTATTTTAAACACTTCAGTTCACATTTAGTATGTCTTGATTTTTGCTTCATTTGTTACATTATTCACGGGCTCTTAAGGTCTGTATGTGGGACTTTAAATGACATTTAGACTCAGTCCTTTGTAAGGACGTGTTTGCTCATATAAGAACGAGGCTGAAGCAGTTTGTGATGTAGGAGTTGTAGTGCTAATGGTTTCCATGCTGCAGATAGTTGGCTGAGGCCTGTTTCTCAGAAAGTGTCTGTTCTCATGGTGCAGCTGGGTGCTTTTGCTTGAGTGCATACCAGCCTGTACAGCAAGCTGTCCTCATTCTGCATTTCTGCCCAGGGATGGCTGAGGTGTTAAACCAGACAGGGCTGCTTRCAGTGGGATCAAGTGATGTCAGCTTGAGGCTGTAAGACTCCACTCTTGGGCTGTCTTAGGACCTTTCTTACTTTTCTGCTTTTCTCAATTTACGAGTTTCAGTTGATGCCAAAGCTGTTTTCTGGAGCTCAGCTTCAAGGCAGCTTTCCTACTCTAGCTGTGTTGGCTGCGACTKAATAGAAATGAAATCTGCTGTATGTTTTGATACTAATTTCTTGTGCACTTTTAAAAATATGGGCATAATTTTCTTTTGAATGAGAGTTGCCATTTCCTATTTCTGTTTCTGTAGCATTAGCATTATTGACACTTAACGAGATAGTACAGGGCATGGGAAAGGGAAATGGAAAACACCCCATCCTTTTCTTACTCAAGTAAGATAAGTAAAAACTTTGGAAGTTAGAAGACGAGCTAAGAATCCATCTCCCTTTTTTTTCACTGCAGAATACATGAAGCTCAAGATCTGAACCTGCTATGACTGACCCAGACGTCCTCACTGAGGTCCCAGCAGCTCTCAARCGCCTTGCCAAATATGTGGTGCGTGGCTTTTATGGCATTGAGCACGCTTTGGCTCTGGACATCCTCATCAGGAACTCCTGCGTGAAGGAGGAGGACATGCTAGAGCTCCTCAAGTTCGACAGGAAGCAGCTGAGGGCTGTCCTCAACACCCTCAAAGGTGACAAATTCATCAAATGCAGGATGAGGGTTGAGACAGCTCCCGATGGCAAAACCACTCGCCATAACTATTACTTCATCCACTATCCCCTGCTGGTGAACGTGGTCAAGTACAAACTGGACCACATGCGCCGCAGGATCGAGACCGACGAGAGAGACTCCACCAACCGTGCATCTTTTAAGTGCCCCATTTGCTTCAGCACTTTCACAGATTTGGAGGCCAACCAGCTGTTTGACCCCAGGACAGGTAAGGGTACAGGTAGCTAAATGCTTTTGCTGTCTCCTGTTGCTGTAAGTGCTGGACTTTAAGGAGACAGAGCCTTAGGAAAATTCTCTTTGAGTATGGCCAGAGCTAGAGGGCACTCTGTTTCTGCAGGTGGTAGATGTTTGAGCAAAATACMAAAGTAATGTATACAGACAAATAGTAATCTTGGTGAAATGCTTTTGAGTCACCAGCAGTACAGAAATGGAGGTCTTACCAAAGTCAAACTCAATAAGGCAGTGTGTCCTTTTTAGAAGCTGATGGCTTTTCAGTGTAATCTGGGTTTGCCTGTAAATTGTAAGACTCACAGGTAAGTTTGCAGAAAGGGCATATGTAGARTTGACTTTAGTTAGTCATGCAAGGAGTGAGTTGTTACTGTTTAATATTCTAGCTTAGTGCATTATGCTGCACAACCCTGTTTCCCAGYGTAAGGCAGTCTCACGAAAGTTAAAAGAAATTAATTACAGTCTTGTCTGTGGTTGGGAGTAAACAAGATTCTTATTCATGTTTAAGTCTCAGTGGAAGTGCATATCTGTCTCATGCATATGAAATGAGAGTCTTTCCTGGGTGTCATTGTCTACTTTGTGCTTCTGTGCCAGGAAATAAAAGGARGAACACCTGCACCTGATGAGATTCTGTTTTGCTGGTCTAATCTGGGATTATTTTGGGGGGAAGGCAGGGGGGTTAGATGTTAATTTACTTCTTAATTTTTTCCTTTTGAATTTTATGTTCTGATCTTACTTTTTCACTAAAGTAAGAGGACAAAAGTCAGGAGAGCTCTCGGATACATTAAAGTAGGATGTTTTGAGTCAGTTAACATAATAAAAAACTTGACTGATTAGCAGCATTGAAGCTTTTAACCTGGGGTTACTGATGTGTAATCTGCAAACACCTAATAAATAAATGTACAGCCTATCATTTTCCCTTTTTCCTGCCTCCAAAATTAAAAAACCATGAAACTCCTTTTACTTGAGCAACCATGAAGATGTTACTTAGTACTGGAGAAACTACCTCCACTTAGTTTCAGTAAGAGCATACCTGCCTAGAATTTATGTATATTCCGTTTCTCTTTATATTATTTTAAGTCAATGATAGCTTCATCTAGATAGCTTACAATGATACTGTTGTATGGCTACTTTATATTGTAGTGGATTGTGTTGTCTRCATGTTTCCTTCTGCTCTGGAATTCTGTATTAGAAAACAACTGAGAGACCTTTAGGTCTTTCACAGAGGAAGCTCATGAGGTTAAGGCATGCAGAGAAACAAGGTTTATTAGATARTAAATAGCCATCCTTTTCCAAGAATGTCTTTAGCTCTTGTCAGTGCTAAAGATAAACCTCTCCCACTCATGGAAGCTCGTGGCAGTACAACTGCTGAAGGGTAGCTGAAAGCCACAGAGCTTCAGTCACAGATGACCTGAGCTGCTCTGAGACTGCAGCTATGTTGATAAAAACATCACGAATTAAAAGGCCTGGAGGGCCAAAATGTGTTAATCCATGGAGCAGGTAGGACATGGAAGGCATCCTCTGCACAGTCTGGACCAAGCTGCGTTTAAATTGAGAGTCTGTTGTTAAAAGGTATCCTCTTTCACTGTCTGCTTTTTGTCCTTGTTGTTCAGAGATGGGTATGATTCAGATGTCCTGTGTTTTCTTCTGCTTTGCTTTCCTCTTTCCTATCCATAACTCAAATGCAAACTCCGAGTGATTGTTGTAGAATGCAAGAGTTGTTCTTACCCTTCCTTATTAGCAGGGGTGAGGAGGTTTCCAGAACCACTCCATGCCATTATACTTGAATGTGTGAACCAAGAGTGCTTGTGAAGAGCYTGTCCATAATTTGGATCTGTAGAGCTCTTTAATTTTTACCACAGCATCTGTGTCTACTTCTTGGATTTAGCAGAGCTTTGTTTCTTACAGGTCAAGTRGCTCTCTTTTGGCTCTGTGCTTTACTCCATATCTGAATAATAAACTGAAGTGTTTATTTTTTCATCAGAAAATGTGATTATTGATGGTTTTGGAGGGTAGACATATGTCTGCTGAGAAAAAATAATTGATAATGAGATGTATTTTCAGTGTGTGTAGGTACAGATGTGCTTTTGACTGCTATTCAGTTAACTTGGAAAAAATACTTGGAACAAAGTAGCATATTTGCCACTTAGGCAATTTTAAATGTAGATTTTAAGTAGTATAAGTGTTACTTTGAGAGTGTTCTCTCTGTTTTTAAAGGCATGATAAGATTTTTTTTCTCCATCCCTTTTTCTGCCATTAAAYATCTCAACCCAAAAAAGCTCCAAAGACTTCCTATATTGTCAAAGGTTGAACAACTCTTACATGGTACTTTGAAGGAAGTTCAAGGACAGGATGTGAGACAGTGAAAGTCAAGATGATGCAAAAAATGGRAGTTTTTCTGCTACTTCAGCTAACAAGGGGATCTTTAGAAAAGTGARGAGAAATGCATGCTTGTTGAAGGTTGCTTGGTTGTATGACCAGTGAGTGTCCACTAAGTGTGGCATGTCCAGGTCAGGAGCTGTAGCTCCATTTGTTCTACACAAGGAGCTTAAACAGATGCCCAGTTGTCCCACTTCCTCCTCAGGAAGGAGGAAACAGTTTTTTTAAAAAACCATTTTTTTTTTTACTGTTGCCTCCAAAGAAGTGGTATCAGTAACCTCTGGTTTTAGGGGCAAACCAGCTTGGAMGCAGCACGATTTTATTGTGCAAAAGCTTGCACTGGAAACTTGTAGCAAAYCTTAGAAGAACTTTCTGATTGAGGAATTTGTCACTTTTCAGTTTGCCTGTTGAATTGGTGCAGATTGCGTTGTTACAGTCTGAGCAGCCACTTTTTTGAGTGTTTTGTAATCTAGAGGAGGGAAATATTAACTCTGTACAAATGAAAAGTGTTACTTCTAGCTGTGTGTTTCAGATGGGATGACTAAGAAAGGAAAAAGATTGTGATTTTTTTGGAAGATGCTAGTGTAAGCACTTGATCCTTGCCTTTCACTTGTGCCATCATCTACTCTCTGACCATAGTCTGGTATTTCATCACTCCCAATTCTGCATTTGAACAATAGCTTGCCACTGCTGTTGTGATGTAGCCTGAAGCTTTTCCTGTTTCACCTAGAGATAGGATGCTACATTAGTCTCTTAAACCTTTAGGAAGAATTTTCTTCTCTGTGCTTTTTAATGTAGAAACTGCAGAAATTGGGGTTCTGCAGACCAATCCCTTGAATCACAGATCAATCTAAACAAYTGAGATACCATCTTGTGGATTGGATTTTTGGAGAATTAAATCCACCCACGTGCGTTCTGTGGAGTGCGGGGGAAGAACAGGAGGAGCTGCGTTTCTCACCCGGTAGAGGGCTCTGTTTTTTCTCTCTGCAGATAGGCTTGGGTTGCTTAATCTATGGAGTGTCACAACACTGGAAATTGTGTTAGAAATGTATGTTCTGTGCTGTGATTAATTGGATCTGGCTGGAGAAGGTCTCTAATGTGTCCTAATCTCATACCCTCATCATATTTGTAAATCTAGTGTAGTGTTGGAGTTAACTGTCAAATTSAAGGTCAATTTGAAAGAAAGTATGTGACTCGAAACTGCAAAAGGGAGAGTGGGATGGAASTGAAGGAGTGGCAGAAATGAGATTCTGCAGTGCATCACACTGGTGTTCAGCCCTGGATTTCCTTAGGTATTCTAAATACCAAACTGCATCAGGGTACTCACCAGAGTAGCAAGTGAATTTGATGTTAGAAAGTGTAAGGCTGGATTAAGTAGTTTTTCCACAGTTCTCTTCTACCTTTGCAATGTAATTTTAACTCAGTGTTTCTTTCACTTCTGTTTCTTGCATTTCTTTCACTTCTGTTACTGTGAAGGAAACTATTAATGTTAACAGTACATTGTAATTCCAGTTGATTTCTCATGCACATCTATACATTGTGTCCTCACAATATTCAGTTGGATGAGGATGGAAGACAAGTGACTGATGTGAATCGGAAAGATGATGCTTGTTGGGATGTTCTAAATTGCAGTTGTAATCACTGAAGTATTTTTTTTTTTTTTTTGCTTTTGGAAATCAAGCAGTTAATTACTTGTCTACTCTTCATCCTCCCACAGTTTGCTCTTGGTTTGGTGAATGATTTTGTGGGGATGTCTTGCTGTTCTGAAAATGCACTCTAGTGGTAACATACTGTGTAACTTGAAGCTTTTCTTATTCTGTGTACTGATAAGAAATTTAATTTGGGAAGAACAAATTGAAGGTGACAATATCAGTTTTATAGAAAGAAAGACAGCACCCTGAATATCATATTAACTCCCTTGTTTTACTGTCAGCCTCTCACATGTCCTTTGTGTACTTCCTAACAGAATTACACATAACACATTCAGAGACTGGTTTTCTGTACCTGTCACAAGGCACCTAACATCACATTCAGGCAGCCTGTGTGCAGCTGAGTGCTTCTATGGTTTGGGCCCCATTTCTGAGATTAGAAGTTTGACTAGTCTTTCATTTTTCTTTCTTTGGTCTTGTGTGTTGACTTCTAGAGCTACTTCCTTTTCTCCTGAATGCTCAGCTCCTAACTTCATCCCCAGTGAGCTACTCAGAACACATCTGTCTTCTCATCTCCTTTTGAATTTTTTACTTCCTCAGGCAATTTCTATGTTCGCTTCAAAACTTCCTCATCTGATTCAAATTACTTTTGAGCCTGTCCTATCTATTTTGTTAATTTTTTATTATGCTTCCCCTTTTCCCTGCTTTTTGCCTTACCCTTTTTTGGGCAGCTCTTGTGTCCATTTTTAGTGCATCTCTTTTTGTATTCTGTCCCTTCCAGCCATTAGAAAAAAAAAACCAAACAAACTACATGGAACTATTTAGTCTATATATTGACACAATGTAGTCAGTCCTATTTGATCTTTATGCTATTGTTTCTTGTCCTTTGAGTTAAATGATTTTCAGACATTYTGGATAGCTTTGTCTGCCACATACTGCCATGTGTGTGCTG